AAGCTCAAGGCTGGGACCATTTTGAACCCCCCTTGTACCCGCCACTGGCGCAAGGGCAGCCAAGCTCTTGTCATTGACACAAGCACAACTCCGTCAGCTCCGTACAAAACATCCCATACAGCCTGTCCTCATGGAAAATGGCAGGAGCACTGGCTGCACCGCACCAAGGTGTCCCACTGCTGCTTCACTGACACACAAGACCTGCTCTGACAGATGGAGAAATTCCACCTTCAGGACAACTCTACATCTGTCGTTCCGGTCAGGACACTGAGAGGAGGTGATAATTGAAGAGCAGCAGCAAAACAAGTTACCAGAGGCACTGGCACGTTAGAAGCTGTTACCCAGGGCTTGGCTGGACAACAAAACAAATGAGGAGCTGGAAATGTGCCTGTTCACCAGCACAGCACAACCAGGGTATATGGGAGAGGAACACCAGGAGTTGGAAACTTGTGCCCCCTTTTCCACGAGCTTCTGGCTGGCACTTGGCAGCTGATATTTTCCCCTTCCCACTGCTATCTGCATGCCTTGCTCGAACATCTAAGCCCTTTGATTGACTTATGCCAGATTTGCTTCACATAGTCGGTCAGTAAGGATCAGGCCCTGCACGGAGCCACTGCGCTGCAGAACTGCACCAGCCTGAAGACACCGCCAGGGAGTTCCGCTAACTTCTGCATCAGCAGGAGGGACAATGAGCACAGCCACGACTCCAGAGCAAGCACAGGCTTCACTGTGAATGTGAGCATCAGCAGTGACACACAGTGGGACACACAGCTACCAACAGGCTACAGGACAGTCATCAGGACACCTGGAAAGCCCTGCTCATTGCTAACAACAATCTCTTAACTTCACACAGGCTTTCTACAACTGCTTTCAGCAGGTTCTTAATGTTACCTTTATCTTTCCTTGCAAAAGCAGGAGCATCAGGATAAAAGTTTCTTCTTCCACCACCATGGTTAAATTAGGCAAGTAAACTTGGTGGCAAAAACGCAGTTGACAGCTGCCTGAGGTGTATGTGTGGTGCTGTGCAGATCTCACACAGGGATTCTACTGCCACAACACACCATTCAGGCAGGAAACTTACATGGAAGGGACGAGCAAACAGAAAGCAAAAAGGTCCGTTCCTTCAACATTAAAACTGTGTGATGCTCAAGGGCTGTCCTGTTTCAAACCACTCTCGCTCCTCTTTGTCCATCAGCTGAAGAACCTGTGTACCCCTGGGGACCTGGCTGGAACCAATAAATGAATTGTGACAACATAAAGCCTGTTTGCATTCCAGATCTGCCTGCTCAGCACCCACAGCCCTGAGTGCAAGGACTCGGGGCCAGAGCAGTGGCAAAGGCTGCAGCCCTCCCTCATGCACCAGCAAGCCTCTGCCTGGCCTCCAATGCCATCCTGGAAGGGCTCTTACAGAAGCTACATTAGTTACCTGTGCCCACAGCCCAGCTCTTTCTCCAGAGAGATCCAGCCATGCCCCTGGTGCCACCTCCCAGAGGGCTTGCAGCACCAGTGGCATCATTCAGGGCAGCAGGTAAAACCTACTGTCATCACCCACTCTCCATCCTGGCTTTGGCAGCAGCCAAATAAAACTCCATGTCCTCAGACAGTCTCCACGAAGCAGGGTCTAAGCAAATGGTTGAAAAATTCAAGTATTTTAATGTATTTTTTTAAAAAAACAAGCAGATGAAGCTTCAGAACAGGTCCCATCATGTTTTGCTTTACAGAAAGATGTCCACAGATCCACTGCATGAACGCAGCTGACACAGATGCACTACCTGGGGGCTGCTTGCATGACCTAATGCTCATCTTGCTCAGGATGTGCAGGATTAGAAGTGAAGCATGAAAAAAGGGGGTGGTTTGGGGGTTTTTTTTGAGCAAGAAGTCAAGAAAAAGGAGGGGGGAAATTCTGTGACAATAGTAAGGCAAAGCCATGGGTTTGGCACATCCAATACACTTGTTTTCTGGCTCTTATTCAGTCTCTAATACCTCATTAGAATAAGTCATTAGTTACCTGACAGAGAAATCTCTGGTTACATTCACACAGTCCATGGTGTTCAGACTGAGGACATCAGATGGGCTTCAAAAGGGTTTGGCTTTGTTTCTTCCAGAAGTTTATTTAAAAGTGTGCAAACGGGATACACGAGAGCACAGTAATTCTGGTACACCTGATCCACAGACCCCTGACAGCCCTTCTGTCTGCCCCTTCTCCCTCTAAACCCCCCCAACACTACATGAAAGATCTGGGATGTATCCACAATCCGATTAGCTAGCGGAGACATGGAGCTCAGCCTGCCCAGCGTCTGCAAGCAGGGAGATAAGGCTGCTCTAGCTCACCCACAGCTCGACATATGGTGCTATCATGGTAACTAGAAAATAACATTTACTTCAAGGATGAGGGTGGCAGGAGGTGCTAGGGGCTGCTGTGCTTCCCTGCGTGGGCACCCATCCTCTGGGGATCTTGAGATGGGTAGTGAATGGGGCCCGGGGCTCGCATGAAGGGAGGTGGTGGCCCCATGGCGTGGAACATGTGTGGTCCGAAACCTGCGGAAACAAAGTTGGCAGCTTCAGACAGACAGAACAACCACACAGATGTACCACTGCTTCAAAGTACCATCACAAAACAGCTGGCTTACAGCTGTGCCTTAGAAAGGTGCACTTCTCGTGTGAGTCCTCAAATCCCCAAACTCCTTCCTCTCTTTCCAGTACAGCTGGGGGCAATCCTCACCCAACACACATCCTTCCTCACAGATGAAAGGTGAAAGGACTGGACAGATGTCTGTAATGCCAATCTAATGCTTTCTACTGAACCATGGAGTAAAGGAAATGCATCCAACAAGATGTCCCATAAAACAAAAGGGTCTCCATATACATACACACAGCCAAACACAGGTTGCATTTGACCAGTTGCAAAAATCACCCTTTGCAGTTCAAGTTAACGTGGCATTTACACAGCCAGCAAAAGCACTGAGGAGGTCTCAGTACCAGGAACAGGGATCTCTGACATGCCTGAGAATTTGCAAGTGAATACATATCATGACAGGCAGCTCAGTTTAATTAAACTGTGCTGACAGCTCATTTTAGGTCATCAGTTTACACTGCTTGATGAGGGATGAGGAAACTCAGGGCATGCATCAGTGCGAGAGAAGAGCAGAACAAGGAGGACTTGCTCATCTAACCCTCCCTTGAAGGGGAAACTCAAGTACCTGGAGGTGGTGGTGGAGCAATGCCAGGAGGAGGAGGCAAGGCAATGTTAACCACGGCTGGAGGGCCACTTGGAGGTAGGTTGAAGTAATTTGCAGAAGCCTCCTCTTCTGCAGCTGGAGGAGGGGGGAGAGCTGCACAAAAAGTACACGGTGGTTATGGAAAAATCTCTCAATCAAGACATGCAGAGGCGTCTGCCTTCAGAGAGAGAGGGGCACAATCAGTTCTTCCACAAGGAAAAGTGATACTACTATTGCATGTATGAACCACAGCAAGAAGCAGGACTGCACTGAAACTCCAGAACAGTCACCATTTTCCTTCACCCAAAACCAGCTTTGCTTTTTCCATCAGATGACTCTCGGTGGCTTAGGAAGACATTAACCAAGCGTGGGTTGCCAGTACCTCAGACCTGAGTAACTTGAATTCAGCTTTACCTTTTCACTCATCACATGAAGAACTCTTTTCATCAAGAATTTGCTTCTAGACAAAGCTTGCCTCTCATCCCTGCTGGAACTGCTGCAAACCCACTGTAGGTAACTGCTCTGGGCTCACCAGTGCCTCTGCTGTCCTGAACTCTGCTACTGCTCTCTAAGGTTTAGCTCCAGCCTCTCTCCTGGGAGCAGGTCAGCATAAGTGTTTCAGAGATGTAAACAACTCCTTTACCTCCAGGAAGTCCTGGAACTGGCTCCAGCTTTATCCCGGATTCTGTAGTTCCTTCCTTGTCCTTATCTTTTCCTCTTGCTGCCTGGGACCTAAAAACCAGACAAAAGTTTGAGAACAAGGATGAGCAGATAATCACTCTGCAATAGTTTCACATTATCTAATCCATACCCATTGCTACAGGCCAAAGATGAAAAAATTCACAGCCCATCAGAGACAGCTGATACAAAGTGTGCAAACAGTGCTTAAAGGAGATGGATTAGAAGCAAAACTCCAGAAATTCATAAGCAGGAAATCCCTTACACAATTTGTGTCATCTCCAACCCAGATCCCACTGCTGAAAGAAAACCAAGCTGTGAGAGGACGCTGATCAGTACCTACTCCAGGGTAACAGCCAACCCTGCTCCTGAAGGCTGCATAACCAAGTGAAGAACCTTGTGGCAGAGTCCTCCAGGCTTCCACCCCCTCACTCACCTTCCCCATTTGACATTGAGCCTGCGGCCGTTGACGATGAGCTTGTTGAAGGATTTCTCAGCAGCCACCTCTGCTGCCTGGCGGGTGGCGAACTGGATGAAGGCACATTGCTGCCTCTGCACCACCGTGATCGTCCGGATCTCCCCAAACTGGTAGAAGTGATTTCTGCATGGGGAAAAGTAAGTGTCATGGAACCTCACTCCTCCCAGCCACAGGGCACGCAGCACAGTAATATCTCAACATGTACTAAAACAGCAATGCTCAGATCCTTTTCTCTGTCACTAGTTCAGAGTAACCATTAGAAATCAAGTCTCTTATCCCTCTATAAAATTATGGAGCAATAAAACTCTTCTCTCAGCAGCTAGAGAGGCTATGAGGCTTTCTTGTAACAAGTGTAGCATAGTATCCCCAACAGCTCAGGATGACTCATCTTCATATAGAGAAATTTTAATCAAAGCATTTGAAATGTGCCTGTTTATCTGTTCCCCACCAAGCTGGCACTCCTCTGCAC